CCAGAGTGAGGAGGCCCAGAGCGAGGAGGCCCAGAGCGAGGAGGCCCAGAGCGAGGTGCCCCTCAGGGGCTCCCGGGGAACAACACAAGCATCCGTGGTAGAGCTGCATGCTTTCTACTCTGACTCAGGGACCTGCTGGGGTCCCTCTCACATGTGGTCATGTCCAGTCTTCTGCCTACAGGACCCCTGAGCCCCTGGAGGTGGCTGCACTGCACCCTTGTTGCTGTGTCTGTCTGTCTCCTGTTGACTGGCCTGACCTGCCTTCTCTTCAGGCTGTCTCCCCGGTAGGTAGCCAGTGTGTGTCTCCCCGAGTTGACTGTTGCGGGCTTGTGTTGCTCTGTGGGCGGCTCTGCGAGTGAGCGGGGGTCTTGTACTCATACAGGTGCACAGTGGCTGGGGTCTGGAAGCTTCCCCCTGCCCTTCACTGACCCTGGATGAGGAGGGCTTTCCAGTGGGATTCCCAAGTTGCCAGGGGAGAGAAGACTAAGGGAGCTGTGACAATGCCACGTGCTGTGTGACTGGCATCTGAGTCCTTGTGTGCTGCCTTTAGGGTTGTGTTCTGAGTTCTCATCTGTCACACATGGGACACGGTGCCAATGGAGGCCCCTGGGGTACAGGATCCTGTTAGTAGCCCTGGGAGAGCTCTCAGAGACCAAGGGGATAGGTTCCTCCTCAGATAGGCTCCACACCTCAGATGCACTTTGACTTACAAGGACAGCACAAGGGGCATTTTTTTTGCCAGTCCTGGAGCTTGAACTCAGGGCCTGGGTACTGTCCTCAGTGTGAGTGTGGACTGGCGGGGGCCTCGTGGGCAGCAGGAGGAGGCTGTGTGCTGAGTGTGGACTGGCGGGGTCTGGTGGGCAGGAGGAGGAGGAGGCTGTGTGCTGAGTGTGGACTGGCGGGGTCTGGTGGGCAGGAGGAGGCTGTGTGCTGAGTGTGGACTGGCGGGGTCTGGTGGGCAGGAGGAGGAGGAGGCTGTGTGGTGAGTGTGGACTGGCGGGGGTCTGGTGGGCAGGAGGAGGAGGAGGCTGTGTGGTGAGTGTGGACTGGCGGGGGTCTGGTGGGCAGGAGGAGGAGGCTGTGTGGTGAGTGTGGACTGGCGGGGGTCTGGTGGGCAGGAGGAGGAGGCTGTGTGGTGAGTGTGGACTGGCGGGGTCTGGTGGGCAGGAGGAGGAGGCTGTGTGGTGAGTGTGGACTGGCGGGGGTCTGGTGGGCAGGAGGAGGAGGCTGTGTGCTGAGTGTGGACTGGCGGGGTCTGGTGGGCAGGAGGAGGCTGTGTGGTGAGTGTGGACTGGCGGGGTCTGGTGGGCAGGAGGAGGAGGCTGTGTGCTGAGTGTGGACTGGTGGGGGTCTGGTGGGCAGGGAGGTGGGGGCTGTGTGCTAAGTGTGGAGTGGGCCTGCACAGCACCCCTGTGATTAGCTCTGGGCTGGGGCTGGAGGTTCTGGGGCTCAGGAAGCCTTGAGGGTGAGGGCTGCAGGCTGTCCTCCGTTGGCACAGATGCAGTTCCTGGGCTGCTGCTCTTTCGGAGGGCAGAGTACAGATTTGGTCACTTCCAGGTCTGAGCCTAGCATTGAAGCTCTGTCTGTAAAGAACATGTGAGTGGTCAGACATGACGGTACATGCCTGTAAGCCCAGCTACATGTGAGGTAGAAATGGAGGATCGAGGTTCGGGGCCCATCAGAGCCAAAAAAGTTACAAGATCCCATGTAAAAAACAAGCCAGGTGTGACCTGTGCACTGCAGCCCAGCCTGTGGTGCGCGGCTGTCTGAGGAGGGCATTCTACCTGAGACTCAAACCTAAAACACAAAGGGCTGAGGAGGTGGCTCCAGGGGCAGAGCACCACAGGAAGGGTAGATGCCTTGGATGACTCCGTCTGTGGGGGCGTCAGCTAGGGCACCCATGCGTGCCAACCGGTTTCCTGCCCTGGAGTAGGTGTAGCCACAGGGTATTTCATCCCCTTGTTGTTGTTCTATTGCCAAGGCTGGTTTTGAACTTTGAGGCTCAAACCATGCTCTGGCCTCAGCCTCCAGAGTAGTGGGGGCTACAGGTGAGGCCGCTGTGCTCAGCCCTGGGAAGGCAGGTCTGGATGCGGCAGGGGGGGAGGCGGGGCAGCAGCTGGAGAAAGCAGGCCGGCACCCAGTGCTGACCACTGGCTTCTCAGTGTGGTATTGGCGGAGCCCTTCTGAGTACCTCTAGGCTCTGACCTGTCTCTTCTGGTCTCAGGGTGAAGAGAACCTTCTACCAGAATGTGCCCTCTCCCGCCGTCTTCTTCCAGCCCCTCTACAGTGTGCACAATGGCAATTTCCAGGTGTGTGCAGGGCGCTGCAGGGGTCTGTGGGGGTCCCGGGCGGCCTGGCGTGGATGAAGTGGGGGGGCCCTTGTCAGCACTACTGTGTGCACACACATTCATACATGTGTGCATATGTGTGTGATATGTGTACCTATGTGAGGATATAAGGACTTTAAATGCTGTCTCAAGTGGGTGAGAACCCAGCTGAATTTTTCACTTGTGTGTGAGAGTGTGGGTCCGGATGTGGGTCCTGGGCCTTGAATTCAGGGTGTGGTCACTCACCTCAGCCTTTATGTCCTCAAGGCTTAGTGCTCTACCACTCGGGCCACAATTGTACTTCCTGTTTTTTTGTGTGGCTAATTGGAGATCAGAGTCGCATGTACTTTCCTGCATGGTCTAGCCTCAAACCATGATTCTTAGGTCCCAGCCCCTGAGTAGCTAGGATTATAAGCATGAGCTACTGGATATTAGTGATTTCTCTTTATTCTTGGATCTCAGGTTCCATTCTTTCTAATTTTCATGGTTTTACTCTTAATGATTGAAAATGTGCACACCAGGGTGTACTGTGGTATTTCTCTATTCATAATATATCTGGATCATCTCTCAGTTGTTCTTTCTTGTTTGTCCTTTTTTCACATTGAAAGATGTGTTTTATTTATTCTGCTTTCATACATGCGTTTCCCCCCCTTTGGCTGATACCAGCGTTATGAACTTAGGGCCTCATGTTTGTTCTAGTTTGTTTGCCTGGCTGATGCTGTTTCCTTTGCCTCTGGTCCAGGAGTTTATTCTTTATGTTGGAGATGGAATCTTGTGAAGTGGTCCGCCTGGCTTGGCTTTTCCAGTCTCAGCCTCTTGAGCAGCCGGGATTATGGATGCTTGCCACTGCTGGTGCTCAGCTTCACATGTGAATTTTTTGTTTCATGTGGAAGGGTGGTCCTGCGGTTTGAACTCAGAGCCTTACACTTGCTAGGCAGGCACTTTACCTCTGAAGCTATCCTTATGTTTTAGCTGTTTTTCAGATACAGTCTCCTGTTTTTCCCCAGGCCAGCCTCAGACCATGGTTTCCCTAGCCATGCCTTCTGAGTAGGTAGAGTTTATAGACATGGAGCCATCATGCCTACTTTGTTCTTTTCTTTTTCTCTGAGGTGGGGACTTGAACTTGGTATCTGATGGCTTTGCTCTGGCTGGCGCTCAACCACCTGAACCCTGCCTGCAACCCCAAGCTGGAGTTTTAGTAACTTCCCCTCTTGCTGAGTTCTGCCTCCCAATCGCAATGGAAAACTGTAAACTTTTTCCTGATTTATCTGCCATTGAGGAAAATGGTCGTTGACACCCATATTACCCCTCTGTGTACTCCCTCCTCCACGGTGTCTCTGGCACCTGTGCTGGCAGTACCTGGGCTCCTTCTCTGGGGGCTACTGTGAAGCACCTGAACCCACTGGTCTTCAGGGTAGCTTGCTGACACCATGCCCATGTATGAACTCTGTTTCTCCAGGCTGGTGTGGCTCCCATAGGCTACAGGCAAGCAAGAGCACCCTGGAGTGTCGCCCTGACCACGGATGCAGTCTTTTGTAGCTCATAGTCCCGGTGGAGGAATCTCCTGGGTAAACTCAAGCTCCTCCCAAGGGTTGTGGCCCACTGGTCCTGTTCTTTCCCATGCCCTCCCTTCTGGTGCTGCAGGGCTGGCCTCTACCCCGTGGGCAGCTGTGTCTCCAGCTGACAAATCCACATCTTCTCTGAGCAAAGCCTCTTTTGGAGGACTGTTGTGTACACACACCCTTTAACTCTTTAGGGTCCTAGCTCCGGACAAAGTCCATCCCTGCTCTTCAGGTGGCAGAAGTGCCTGTGAAGAAGCTAGATAGGTGAGGGTCGGACTACGATGTCCTGGACGGCGTTGTCCTGTTTAAAGGCCCCATCCTCTCCCTGCAGGAGCACAGAACCTGCCGGGGTGCCCCAGACCCTTGGTGGTCTGGTTCTGTGTGGATCACCTCTCAAGAGCAGGGTGTGACGGAGGGGGTGGTGTGTGAAGAACGTTTGGTGGCGTTTGCAGTGGGGCTTTGTGTGCCCCCACAGAAGGATCCAGATTTTGTTTTCTTGTCTGTGTGTATAGTGGAGTTCAGAATAGGTTTCCACTTTCTATGGCTGTTGATGGAAGGTCCCCTCTGTCATGGGTCTGCCTTGTCTTTGGTGCCTGTAACCATTTGTGCTGAGCGAGGTCCAGACTACTGAGCTGGGGTGGAGAGAAGAGGTGGACCCAAAGGGATGCAGGCTCCCAGACTGAGGCCATGATCACATCTTTTGAGGATGTGGAGTATTCTTGATGTTGGCATACTTGAACACTGGAGTATCAGAAGAGCTTCCCAGAGAAGCCCAGGGTGCTGTTTCAGAGTGAGTCCTGAACATGCTGCCTGCGTCCTTACCTCTGACCTGTGTTGTGTTTCAGACCTGGGCAGGGGCCGACAAAGTCTGTCTGAAGCCAGGCCAGGACTGTGCTAACAGCTCTCCAGGAACCCGGGAGGCCATCACACTGCTAACCTGTGGCCCAGGATACCCTTGGACCCTCTCAGGCCTCAATGAGGAGGAACGCAGCCCAGGGGGTGTGTTGCAGGCAGAGGGGGGACCGCCGTCGGGCTACCTCCCCCAGGAGGACTGGCTCTGCCTGCCTCCCACCAGGCCGGCTCCCCCAGAGCCAGAGGGGAGCAGCAGCGACTACTGTGCCTTGGGCTGCTGTGGTGGGTGCCACGCCTCTGTGTTCCCCATAAATATGCAAAATGCTGAGTCCATCCCAGACTTGGCCTGTGGCCTTTCCTACGTCCAGCAGAGCCCAGAAACCCAGCAAAGGGCTGCCTGTAAGGAAGCTGGCCACGGTCAGAGGTGTGCACTGTCTGAGGACCCACAGGGCGTTTGGCTCGCTCCCATTCTGGGCCAGCAGCAGGCTGTCCTGAAAACTCCAGAACTCTGACTTTATCCAGTTGCTTCATGTGTACATTGAGAAAAGTGGATGAAAGCACCTGTTGCTGACTGTCGCTGGGCCTGGGCCTCCTGAGAAGGGTCGCTCCACACTGGTCCGAGGCCCTCATGTGGATGGAGCAGGGGCCTCGTCAGTCCTCAGCCTGAGGGTCCCTGCCCTTAGCATCCTGGCACCCAGCCTCTTTTGTCCTTTGCCCTCTTGTGGTTTTGCCCCAGGCCTCTCTGAGAAGAAGGGTGTAGAGTCACAGCTTGTTCCATCCTCCCCCTATAAAGGGCCAGGTGGACACAGGCGAGACACCATGACCAGCTGGAACAGCCTCTTCACGAACCTTCCTGAGTCACTTTCCCCACTGAGTTTACAAGGGATGTCTTGGCTGTTCTAAGTACAGATGATCCAAGCGCTGGGATCCTGCAATCCAGCATCAGCAGCGTAGAGGCTCACCAGCTCCAGACGTCATACCTCTGTTTCTTTCTTTCTTTTTTCTTTTTTTTGTTGGTCGTGGGGC